AACAAGTCCAAAAGCCAGGGTCTGTCATGGTCTGAGGTTGTGTCACTGCCCTTGGCAAAGTTAACTTACATTTCTGTGATGGCTCCATTAATGCTGAAAAACACAGAGATGTTGGAGCAACATATGCTGCCTTCAAGACAACATCTTTCCAGAGATACCCATGATTATTTCAGCAAGACAATGCAAACCTCATACTGCACAGATTACCAAGGCCTGGCTATGGAGGAAAAGGGTGCGAGTGCTGTGATAGACTGGCGACCTGTCCAGGGCGTACCCTGCTTCTCACCCAACCTTGTCAGGATAATCACTATAGATAAGGAATGGATGGATGGAAGAACAGTTACTGTATATGTATGTTCAAACACCTCCCATCTCATCCACAATACCCTGAAACTTAAGCTTAGCTTACACAACAGCATCCTCTCATTTTTTTCTCCACTGTCCTCCATCACATCATCCATCTTAATTGTATGATATCATTCTATAAGTATTGTCGTAGAGTGATATCAGACCAACAGTATAAATACAAAATAATTTCATTTAGCAGATGACACCGGTGCATGAATGTGTGAGTGCTTGGGAATGTGAAGGGTGAATGGCCAAATGGTGTGAAAGCGCTTTCAGTGTGCTGCAATGCATAGAAAGGTGATATATAAGTATAAGACCATTTAATATTCATCATGTATATCTCATGGAAACTTCACTTTTAAGCCTCAATGGATGCCAAGATTTAAAGTGTTAATTACTGTAGCACAGCCTCCATTCATCCATTATTTATACCGTTTATTCCTGAATAGGGTCACGGGGTGCAGGGGTCAATCTCAGCTGACATTGAGGTGGGGTCCACCCTGGACAGGTTGCCAGTCTATCACAGGGCTGACACTTAGAGACAGACAACTACACACACTCACTCCTATGGGCAATTTAGTCACCAGTCAACCTAGCACAGCCAAATTACATTAAATTCTGAATATTGAGCGCTGGCATACAGGGTGGATAGTGGATGCCCAAAAACCCTCAGCAAAACTAATCTCCTGTTGTGTAACAATCCCCCTCAGTTCAGACCACCCTGTTTCTAACAACTAGAAACAGACACACAACTATCACAAAGAGAGCGACAAGAAACATATGTCAGTCAGTCAAGCTCCCTCCACCCCCTGCTGTTCACTCAAGCAGCAGTGTATTGTGTGTGTGTGTGTGTGTGCGTGCGAGCGCGCGCCCGTGAGCGTGTGTGTGTGTGCCTTCGTATTACTTACATCATGAGGACCGAAACCTGTTAACATACTCACACTGTGGGAAATCTAGTCCCCACAAGGACAGAAATTATACCCACAAATCTGTAGGTAAACTGTGTGAAGGTCATTTTCTGAGTGTGCAGTTTGTGTATTTAATATCAATCAGTCCTGGTTGTCACCCCTCCTCCATGTGCCAAAAGAATACATCAAAAATAATAATATAAATGACTCTGTTGCTGTATATCCCCATCATCCAATGATCTGGTCAGAAAAACCCAATGACACAATGCCAGGTCCGAGATTAAAGAACATACTGAAAGAGCCAAACTGTCAGCCTGTGCACTGTGTTTGTGTGTCTGAACCTTAGAGTGCCACTGATTTTATTCATTTTTCGCTTCGGAGTTAACAAGATCTTCACATTTGTTGACTCTCCCAAAGACCAAAAGCACAAAGAAAGACTGCAAAAGAAAACTGAAAAACTGCATCCATGTGGTAAGATTTCTAAGTATTACTTTGTGGAATTACAGGCGATGACACCTGTAAAGGCAAAAATATGCTTCATCTCCAAAAAAACATGATTTATATGCTAATTTTGACTTGAAAACTAAACTCTGGCAGGTGGGTAAGGTAATGTGCTGAAAGAACAGAAGTTAAAAAGACTATGTAGTACAGAGTGGTCACTTTTACATGTATATAAATAATATAAATAATAAATGGTGCCTAAAATGAAAATCATTTAAAAGAAACTGGAAGAAAGTTTCTAAAACTGATCATTTCTTCACAATGCAAGGATCAAAGGAGCTGGACTCATCACAGCATGTTGGTTCAGAAATCATCATTTGGCCTTACCAAGAGTGCGCACGGGGTTGTTGATGTGGCTGGGTGGGCTGACTCCGTGCACATTGACCGCCCTGACAACAAACTGGTACTCTGTTTCCGGTATTAACCCCTTCAAAACCATGGAGTTGGTTTCAATGGGCTCACGAATATACGTCCATTCTGTGTCCATTTCTGGCCTGAGAAAAACAAAGGATGCATAAAGATACATCAACATATAGTGAATGACCATTAATGCATTAACGTTGGTTACAAAATACTTGTTGCCTTTAGGCATTTGACTTTTTTTTTTTTTACAAACCATCAACAAACAAAACAAAACAAAATTCTCACAACATCTTCATGAAATTTTTTTTAGGATAATCATATGTTCTTGTGAGCAATGTTTCACACTTCTGATTTCACTTGACTGTTCCTCCCTGAAAATGTTAGTGACTGAAAAGAAAACAATTACTAAAGACTGAAGATCTGAAAAAAAATCAAAGTAACTAAAGTATCTGATTGATTGTGATGTTTTTATTAATTGTGTTACTGTTTTTGAGGTCCTTTAAGTCTTAAAGCCATAGGCTGCTTTATTCAGTGTGGTTTTGGGAAAAAAAAAGATGCTGAACTCCTGAACTGTATCTCCAGCTTCCATCACCAGCATCCAACTCAAACTGCCTTATTTGTGTGTTGACTGTGGGCGCCTGGAGCCACAACTATCTGTTGAATAGAGTCATCTTCACCACCACTCAATGTCTCTTTTCAGGAAAACCTCTTTTGATGCAACAAGAGAAAGATTTGTCTCTGAGATGGCTCTTTTGTGCGGAAAATGCCCTTGCATGCAAAAACAGACACTGATTCATGTCTGTTCTCTCACAGTGACAGTTACCCTGCCTCCGACTCTGGCTCTCTTTGCTCAATGCAGGGCAACACTATTGTGTTTTTTAAAGCTTGTTTCCTTTTAAATCTGTGCCTTTTTCTGTTTATTTCGTTTTAAACAATTCTTCTGGGAACATTTTTTCTATTTTATCTCCTTATTTTACTAGTGTCTGGCAAATCATCAGAAGAATGAACAAAACTGACCTCAACTTCCTTGACACTGAAGCCGGAGGACTCATCTAGACACGGGAGGTTCTTATGTGTGTGTCTGTGTGTGCGCATATACTGTTAATGTGTGTGAAGCCGGACACTGTTAGACAAAGAGTGGAATTCATTCCTTTCCATTTCCCAAATGACCGTCATGTCAAAACACAAGTAACTGCACTGAACAGACCAGAAAAGGCTTCATGACGTTCTGTAAAAGAGAGCTGTGTATGCTGTATTATATTAATGTGACAATGAGCGGATGCAGAGTCTGACTAGAAAGCCTGAGTGTGCAGTTATCTACACCCATTAGGGATGGTAAGTTTCTAATTTTAATTGACATTAAAATAGCAAGTGATTATTGCACTTTGAAAACTCCCCTGCTTAAGGGCGACCCAGTGTCCAGCATCAGCTGAAGTTTGCAGACACAGGCTGAAGGCTCCAGTTATGTACATATTTACCATACTGACATGGGGGCAGTGTTGGTCTTCTCATCTAACTCTCAAGAAAGAATATGTGTATTTCACAATATCTCAAATTACTGTGTGAAGAGACCATTATTTCTGCGGAGGCACCGTTCCATCTGAAATTCTACCAGTCTCGTGCATAATTTTTGCTAAATTTCAGTGTAAATTATTCACATTCAGTAGCTTTAGAAACCTTGGAATCTTGAATTTGAACTTACTCACTGCTTGGCCTTACAACAAACATCTCTGATAATGGACCCAACAAGCGGTTTTTCTGGTTACATGGGAGCATTGTTCTGGGAAAAAAGCTCTATCAGTTGTCGACTCGACCCAGTTTTGTTCAAAGACAGACAGCTTATCAATTAAGAGACTGAACAGATGCCTTGTTTTCGTCTTCGTACAGCCTTTGATGGAACAAGACTTTTCACTTATGCCTGTTCTGTCCCTCCTTGATGTCGCCTACTCAGGCAGCTCTTTACTTGATTAGTGTCTGTAAGAGCTGGTTTGATGGTGTTTGTATGTGGGTGACCAGTGTGTTTTGGAGTGTGTGTGCTCACCATCCCAGCCATACTGGGATGGTGAGGTATCAAAATGGATGTTTAAGATTCACTGATTTCTTTCTTTGCATTATTAATGATCAATTATGACTGACCTGATGTACGCCACCAGGAAGTGAAGAATTGGTGCGCTTCCCTCACTTTCACCTTGCTGCCATGACAACGCCAGCTCCGTGTCAGATACAGCCATTACAACAGGCTGAGTGGGGGGTGATGGTGGCATGCACGTTTCTAAGAGGGAAAAAAATAGTGAAAGCTATTAACAATGCAACTGTAGAAATAATAGCAAAAATGGATTCCACTGACATATTCTTACCATGTGAAGCAGTGCTGATGTCTCTGGGTATGCTAGGTCTGCCCTCCCCGGCCCAGCCATACGCGCCAACTCGGACTCTGTACTTAGTGTTCACCTTTAGGCTACAGATAACAACATCCTAGAAGACAGTATATGGGGGAGTGGGTGTGGAGATGTAGATAGATTTGGAATAATAAGCAAGAGCACATTAGCAAGGATGGTTGAAGACAGAGAAAAAAAAAAGAATGAAAACCAGCTGAAGAAGAGATGGAAAATACTAAATTACAAATTGAGGATTAATACACAATTTGAGTACAGTGTATGTCAAAGTCATTTATCAGTTGTGATGAGAATGCACTGACAAGGTCTAATGAAATTTTTAAATGGCTAAAGGATACTTACGAAACTTGCTTGCCCGTCAAATTGCCCCTTTGAAAAAAATAACAGAGGTATCGTTAAATGTTAAAGTACATCACAAGGTGCACATTGTCACAACTTCATTGTAGGTCCGAGACATACTATCGATTGACCTACTGTCAGTAATGTAGTTTTATGTTAGTATTGAAAGTGGGAAAATATTTTCTAAATTACCGGAGTCAAAGTCCTTGTGTGTTTAACATACTATAAAACTGAATCTGAATCTGAATCTGAAAATCTTGCAATATTAGATGATGGTAGAGTCAAAAGCCAATGTCACCGATTATGAAAGGTTAAAGTTTAAAGAGTTCACAGTGTCAACAAATCCCATAGAAAGCTCAAAAACTGCTGCCCCACCAGATCCCTTCATTAAAGACACAAATCTTTATAAAAATGTTATAGTTTGATGCTTTATCATTAAGGCAGCAGGACAGTGCATGTAAATAAACTACAGTGCCCATGTTCACCATAATGAAGCAGCTGTGTAGCTTGTGTTTTAATGGTTTTTGAATGACAGTGGAGCTCTCTACATAATGCTTTGTTTTTTATTTTATTTTTAGGACAGTGTGACTTTGAAATATGTTTTTCCTATGCACTGATAAAGAAGCACTGCAAAGACTTTGTTGGCAATTTCAAACACTATCACTAGTTGGGCTTGAGAGGCAGATAATGTTTTCTCAAGCTCCTTAGCTTAGTATGTTCACCACTTGAACATGACATCCAGGAAGAAGTACAGTCAGAAGTGTCTGAATACTCACAGTGGTCAACCTGTCCAAGCTGAGAGGAACCTCTATCAAAGATGTTGTTCCCATTGGACGGCCATTCTTCATTTCTGTATAGAAGACCTGAAAGGAATAAACACATGCAAATACATATTTATGTGAAAATGCATCCAATTCTTACTGTTCGGTTTGGCAGTCATTCTAAAATGTCATGTTATGACATGACAATCTCCTTATTGCAGACATATGGTCAACACACACAGTCATACTGTTAATATCTGACTCAAAAAACCACTAGAAAGGAAGGGAGAAATTCAATAAACCGGCTCCTGGTAAGGTCTTTTATTTCAATCAAAAATATATATAAAAAGTTAAACATATGAAAGGAAATGAAAGTATAGATGTGTGAAAGTTATATCTAAATTAAAAAGAAGGAAACGACTGCTTTTTATTCTGTGCTCAGTCTATTTTATGTCTCAGTAATACAAGACCTAGAGTACAAAGCTACCTGCCTACAATGTTTGTCCATTATGCCTCGACCAAGAAAAGCAAAAGTACATGATGAACAGCTTGCCAAGAGTGGAGCAAACACTTTGTTGACAAGACACTCACTAAAGAGTTGTAGCCACATCTTTCAGAGGTGCAATGCTTCTGAAAAAGCATAAATTTCACAGTGGAGGGTTTCCATCAAAATTTTAAAATATCCATCTAGTCCTCAAGGCCATCTTACTGGACCTTGAGTTTGACAGGCACTTTAAAAGCAGGAAAAAAAGGTGAGGGACACACATCAGAGGCTTGTCGGGGGAAAACGGACATCTGTTCTGAAAGAAGAGGGAGTTTAATTTGTGTCATATTTGAAAACTTGTTTTTTTTATGTTTGCCAGGTCAAAAACCTTTGTATGCATTTTGAAAAAGAGTTCTTAAAAGGACCAAGTAGGACCGTGTTCTTTTTCTCACTGATTGTAAAAGTAAATATGTTCTTTTTCTCTTTTATTTGGAGTGTTTTCCAAGTCAATATGGCAGGTGTTTCCTTGGCATTTGTTGTTGTTGTTTTGTGCATGGTACCTAAAAAGAAAGCACCACACTATAACTGTTGACAAACCCTGGGATGTAACTGTCAGTGCTTTAAACTCTATGGGGCCTTGTAATCATCTTATGTAATATTTTGTGGAAAATCCTTTGCAGTCAATGACTGTCTGAGGTCTTTGACCCATAGTCATCAGTAGACACTTTGCATCTTCCTCGGTGATGCTCTCTCAGGCCTTCGCTGCAGCCACCTTCAGCTGACTTGTTGTGGACTCTTTCTGCCTTTAGTCTGGTCTTCACTGGAATACAGCTCAGTCATATTGATGTCTGGTGACTGATTCAGCCTTTCAAAGATATTCCACCCTCAGAAGTTCCTTGGTTTGGTTTGGTTATGTTTAGGATCACCATCCCACTGAATGATGAAGTGTCGTCCAGTAAGTTCTGGTGCATTTGACTGAATCTAAGTACACAAACTGCTCCTTTGCACCTCTGCATTCATCCTGTTGCTTCCATCAGCAGTGAAATCGTAGATAAATGCCAGTGTGACAGTTCAACTGGCAGTCACACACGTCCAGGTCATAACAGAATCCCACCATGTCTGACAGATGTGGTGGTGTGCTTTGGTTCTTGAGCTGTTCCTTTTCTCTCCAGACCCATCAGCATTTTGATAAAGGCTGATTTTTAGTTAAGCAGACCATAGAAATACTGATCTCCTTATCTCTTATGTATTTATTTTCTGTTTTCATTCTGGATGTAACTTTTTATGTATTTTACGGAAGCATCCTGCTTTTATTCAATTACTGTGTCAGCCCTTGAAAATACCAATCAAAATAAAGTTACTTGAAAATAAAGTTTAAATAAAATTCTGTGATACCTCTAAATTAATTTGCCATAGTGCCTTTTAAATGCCCATCATTAAAATATTAATAAGATAGAAATATGTAATTCTTTAATGTAAAAGCACAGTTTGTGACCACCTTGTAGCCAGTGATGGTGCTAACATGTCGCCGGGGCATCTTCCATTGCACACCGAAGGCGGTGCAGTTGATTGTCTCCAGCTGAATGTCTAATGGAGGACTCAGACGATCTGGTTAAGATAAACACACAGAAAGACAGAAAGTGAGAGAAACAGAGGCCACACAAACAAAAGTGCAAGTGTGAATAGTTCTAAACTGCTTTAGCTGACATTAAAACAGAGACAATGATAAATGTACATGGCACCCTGTGACTAACATGTGGGATTATGGAACTGTTCTACTACTATTTTCAAGAAGTGCAAACAATTGCACATAAATGTTTTGTCAATAATTTCAAGCAAGTCTGCTGCAATATCTTTCAGGAGGACAATGATAGTCTGATACACTGTATATATTTCATCTGAGTTTACTTGAAGGGTGGAGAAAGGACCACTTCAGATGACATAACCTGTAGCTTGACACGTTGGCTTATGGTATCGACTGACTCTGGCTTTAGATGTCATTATTTTTACTGTCTGAGTTGTTAAATCCTGGGCGCTTCTGTGGCACTTCAAGAGATTGTAAATTATCTTTCAGTGTTCAGCTGCTGCCTCAAAATAGTTCAGGAGGCTCTTACGGGCACAATATAAAGAGAAATAACTGTAGAGCTGTAGATCATCAGTGCTCCTAATGGCCTACTGTATATGCATTGCCAGAATTTAATGGATAAATATGAGCAGTCGAGGGGCCCACAGAGCCTCATAGTCATACACTTCATGTCATAATATTTACACAAACTGAAAGATTGCTACATTCATACCACCACTATGTTTCTAAAATGCTTGACAATAATAGCCAGCAGCTGAAAATTATGTATTTTAAATCTGTGATTTAAGAGAAGGTTCTGATATCACCTAAAAACACAGCTGCTCAGTTACCTACAGGTTTAAACTAACATTGGAAAGTTATGTTTTTCAAAATTTGCATTAAGTTGGGATTTAGTTCAAAAACCTAATTTTAACCACAGCTGTCCTTTGTCTAAGTGACAAAAGCACAGACTTTGCTTGACTGACTTGGAGATCAAACTAAACTAAATATAGCAAAGCAGAGCTCAGTAAATTGAAATCTCATGTAGCTACAACACTGCTCTTTCCCATTTTCTTGTTCTCTCATCTTTATTTCTTCTACTTCCAGTACCAATCTCCTGTACACCTGGCTCCTCTAGTGTCAGCATTTCCCCTCCTTTCTCATACCCTTCTTCCTGCACTTCCATCCGAGCGGGTAATGCAGTATGTCAGCTGAACTCCCTGATCAGCCATATCTCCCTGGAGGTGTGTCCCGGTGAGCTGAACTCAGAGAATTATAACTGATAGAGAGGGGACTTCTTAAATCATTATCTGTGTGTACATCAGCATGCAGCAGCTTACAGTGGTGCTGCATGTACTAGATAGGTCTGAGTAAGAATTTTACCAGCTGGGGGACAGAAGTGAAACTGTTACCTCTAATCAGTATGAAACTTGAAAATCTTGACATTAGCCTATGAAACTGCTAGATTATGTTTTAGCTGGTAAGACAAGCTTTTGTGAGTAAACTGCATCTTGTGAGCAACAGTAGCATGAATCTGGTGTTTGGTCACTTTTTGACTATTTTTTTTTTACCAGATACAGTGGCCACATCAGCTGCATTGCGAATGAGGCGTCAGCTTATGAAACGGTAAAGAACCTCAAACTCCACACACTGAAGCAACTTGGTTCAGTGTACACTGGAGATCATTGTTCCGGGAGGCCAAAGTGACCACTAAAGGCCACATCTTCATTAACCAGCACATTCTCAGGCTCTCTTGGTAAACCATGAAGCAGCAGTTGTAGAATTTATTACAGTATATCTTGTGTGCAGGCCTTTCTCCAACTACACCAATCACAAGTAAACCAGATTAGCAATTTGGCCACTTATCTGTGAGATGGTAAAAATGGGGATGTTAAATCTATTTTTGACTTACTGTCCAAATAATAGGTCAACTAATACTGGATTTTTGAAGCCAGTGCTGATATTTGAATATTTGATATCTTTTAAAAATAAAAATACGACAATTACATTTTTATTTTATTTCCATAAAACTGCAAATTGTCCAAATTGTCCTATACAGCACTTTAACAAATGATTCTGATTATCAGCTTCAAACATAAATATAAAGCCTTTTTGCATTTGCTATAGGGTGTCATCGCAAGCTTCAAGTGTAAGCACTAAGCTTTACAATTATGCTGAGATTTCAAAGCCACTTTTAAATCGTTCTGGCCAAAAAAACTATAAAAAGGTGCTTTCGCTTGTTCAATAATTATCTGATTTTAAATTCAGATACCTTCTTTCAGACCTGTTCTCTCACTCTACATCTCCACTTTCAAAGTCAGTCATGTAGAAGTGCTGCTCTTTGCAGGTCTGAGTCATCCAGAAGTGAATGAGCAGCAAGAAGTGAGCTGTTGTGCTGCTCTTCAGCATGGCTCAGGAAATAATATATACACTGAATCTGAAAGGATAAACTGCAAACTGTCATCGCTGTCTTGTACCAAACAAAGTGCCATATATTGAGTGTGACATGATATGCTTTTAGTGACAAGCTAATAACTTGGATATACATTATGAAATATGTAAAAAGAAAAAAGTGACCGATTCTATAACTAACACAACAGCTTATTGTAACAGGGATAAATCTGTCAAAACCCTAAAAAGTAAGATCACTTTGAGGAGAGATCATTCAATTTGAACCCTTTCCTAATACCATCAGCTTTAAAGGCTGATGTAATTCATCTGGACATCGAGCCCTGTTGACCTTCTCCCTCCCTCAAAATGAGGCCTGAAAGACCTCAGCACAAAAATTGAGTTTAAATGTAACTGGTAGTCATGTATACAGAACCATAGTCATCCTCAGTGTGGTAGCCTCAGGTGTGGTGACCTTACTGTGCTGACAGACAGGTGTAATAGTCAGCCCGCTCTGCTATGGCCTGTGGGTCCAGAAGAGTGAGGGAGGGCAAAATACAACAGACAGTCAGAGGAAATGACAGTGAGAGAAAAAGGAAGTGATAGAAAGTGAGAAAGTGGAAGAAACTGGGCCAGAAAGAAGTGTTCAGGGTGACAGGATAACAAAGACAGATAGAGACAGGGAGACAGACAAAGAGTAGATGCTGTGCAGATGACAAAATCAAGATGTTCTCACCAAGCTGAGTACATTGGTTTGATTGATATTGGATGTACTTGGTCTAAAGCTAACTGTTTTTCTGTCATTCTAAAAAAAAAAATTAAAAAAAAAATGTTTGTTTTTTTTTTAATATAAATACAAACAATATTTGGAGAAATAAAATACACTTTTTCACCAAGTCATATTTGTCCCCATTTCCTCTTAGTCATGACAGTCCTGCCTCAAACTGTCAGGCTTTAAAGTGTTTAAATTACAGTTCAGGTTGTAGTTCACTGAATATGGTAGTGTAGTGATGCTGCTCACTGGGGTGGGGACCTTTTTTGAATGGTCCATGTAACATGTTGCACAGAGGGCTTTGTTAGAGAATAATCACATAGTGCAGCCTACATGATGATAATGATGATCCTGTTTTCAGTATAATGAGCATCCAACAAACAAAGCTGATCTTTTCCAGTCACCAAAGACGAAGAACTGTACAAGTTGAAAAGTGCCACTTAGATTTTGGATGTGAATTGTTGCTGGAATATTATGTTTTTACTTAAAAACTTCAATGTGACATGACAAAGTTTTAAAGCAGTACTAATACAGGGGTAATCAAACTATTGGAAAGGTGGGAGCAGACATGCTATCCTCATACACAATTTCAATATATAGTATACTGTACTTCAAATGTATTATTATTGTAAATTATTATTACACTTTGCCATATCTGGTCGTAGGTTTTACTTGATGAACTTACCAGATCTCCGAACATCTGATCTTCTTGCACAAAGGCAAACGCTGGTGGTGGATACGGCAAAGAGAACTAAGCACAAAAGACGCCTTTCTTTAAATACAGGTTCCATGTCTTCTTCTGGTCGAACGTTTAAAGCGGTCAGATGTTCATTTTATCACGCTTTCAAATTCGCGTGTAACAAATGTGACTGAAGCTTCTTCTGATAAAAGTTTTCTCTCATAAAAAATCGGTTTTATCCAGGTTTTGGAGCTAAAGCCATCCGAAGACAGACAGGATCTGCCCAAGAGGAAAGGGTAGTTACGGTTTGACACTGATAAGATTACAGTCTGCAACAGATCAGTGGGTTGGACACGCTTAAGGACGGATAGACTGCCATCGTGTCCCCTAAGGCGCGCTGACAGATGATGGAGAGGGTTGTTCACGCGTAACGCGTAGCACTAACACAAGTGCATGGTGGGCACGATCATTTTTACGCATGAAATTCGATATGGTGTCACGCTCATGTCCGCGTCTTAGACGGCAGATGAGATGGACAACGAAGTGCCGGAACGTGGGGGCATTTAGAGCTAAGAGGATAATGAGCGTTTAATCCGCACACTGGACGCAGATGGAGAGCAACGTCTTGACGCAGGGGAGCAGCTCAAGCAACAGACACTATGTATTTATACTGTGTGTATCTATCTATCTCTCTATCTAGATGGATTTATATAGACAGAGAGATAGATAGGGGGGCGTAAAAGGGGCGTAAAAAGCAATTGTTCTATTAATTCATGTTGGCCAAAGCAGCTGGTATGTAGCCTACTTAATATGTAAACAAGTAACCATCTGAAAAAAGGGGGTAAATTCACGATGTGCACGCGCAAAACAGCTAACGCCAAGGTATCAGAGAGAGGAGGACCACAGAAAGAGAGGACTGGGACGCCAGCTGGGCTGTAAAGGATAGTACTGATGAAGAAGGCTATGTTTTCTAAGTGGCCCACAGCCTCCACTATTAGGAATTTGCAGAAAATGTTGTTTTTATCCATTACATGTACACAAATCCCCATTAAACAATGCAGTATCCCTTAGACTAAACTTTTTAATCTGCTAATATTCCTACCATATTAGACATAGTGGCCCCAAGAGCTCAGCGCACTCCAACTTAAGCGAATCCATGGAAATGATCAACACACAAGCTTAATTTAAAACATCCTCACCAACTTCATAGAAAAGTGAGAGGACACAATCAAATAACAAACATTATCACACATAGAAAATATAATTAAATAGCACGACTACACATTCAAACACAGGTTGCTAGTTGATTAATCTTCTTGAATCAGACATGCCTTCATACAAAGTGTCTATGTAAAATTCAAACCATCAATTTGTACAGAATTGTTTAAAACTCCTTAACTCTAATTCTGATCAAACAATTTCCCCTGACCCACACTGTCAGCTACAGACAGTATTCAAAAGAAGACATTTCAGAACTACTGCAGAGACATCTCGAGTAGTTTCACATCTTCAGTGGTACAGGTCATGCCACCCATTCATCAGAACCCCTCTGACAGGTGCATTGTAAAGATAGACTTGTGCTATTACACTGAGGCTGAAACTGATAGAAGGTGAATATCTTGAAGACATTGCTGTCATGTAATACTCAGAGGACATTACTTCATCTGCATGAGTCAGCTATCATTTTCCATATGACCAGTGCTAAAGAGAGGAATATTATGTTCAGTCCAGAGGCACCGTGTTTTAATGGAAAATGGTTATCTATAAATATCAGATCAGTATCTGAAAAGGACATGAAGAAAAATATAATAATAATCTGTTCTCAAAAACCACAGCTATTGCTTTTAGCGATGTTTCTCTTGAGGACTGTATTTGACTGAAGTGTTAACTGCATTTTGCTGGCATCCATTTTCTTTTCAGTAATGGCATTCTTTTTTGCAGTCACAAAGCCGTCCCATAACAGCTGTAGCCCTCCAAATATGAAATGAGAAATGAGATGAAAATCTGAGACAGCTATTCCCTAAACCCAGTCAGACAGAAATAGTTGGGTATTTTCAATTCAGAAGCAGCAACACTCCTATGTTACAGGTTTCTTTTATGTTAATCTATTTTCTGATGATGTCCTTCTTTAGGATATGCTGCTATCAGTTTTCCAAAGATCACCAAAAGAACATCACAACAGAAGACCTTCAGAAGAAGTACATTATGTTAGTTTTGCTGCACAACACAGACTGGCACTAATTTCTGTTATAAGTGCTTTCAGACTTCTCTACATTCACTTATATTAATCATACAGTTTCTAGGTTACTTAGGCAAAGTGTGATCTGTTTAGTCCAGTTTATTCATCTGCTATTATCAAGTAACCACCAGAATATCACACCAGAGCAGACTGAGGAGTACACACACCTCTGCACAGGTCAGGATGAGGCACAGTGTGTGAAATATTATCACCGTTGTAGAGAAACTATCAGCAAATGGAAGCTGATTTCTATACATCTTTTGGTAATTACATATTTCCAAAAGACTGTAGACACTGTCAGTGTTGGAATACTAGAAATCTAATATTTTCTGGACTTTGTGTTTTTAGATGTTGTGGGATTCTGACTCTCGCAGTTAGAAGGATTGTGTTTTTATCACATATTTGTTTTTTTTTTACACTCTACTAGGATTCAATACATGACTGGAACCTAAGTTTATGATTTGGGGGATACAAGCTTGTTTTATATTTCAACCAGCTCCAGGGGTGGCAGTTGCCAAAAGCAGACTGCAATGAAACTCTAGATGTAGGAAAAGCTTTGAGGGGAGTTACACAATACAAAAGTAGAGCGATGATGTGGAGAGCTCTGAGGTGGTGGACACTGATTTGCATGTGAGGAACTCACTGGTTCCATCTCCTGGTCAAGTACAAGCACAGAGGAGAAAACAGAGAGGCTGAGAGAGACAGTGGCATAAAAAGAAGCTGACAGCAAAGCCACATTTTTCTAGTCTATCTGTGTCTATTTTCATAATAGCTTAATAGAAAATAATAGCCTAAATTTCCCTTCTGATACCGAAGCTTATTCAAACCAAGAAAGAAACATTAGGTAGCTTTAATTGTCCAAGTAAAGAAATAATTTGCGACTTTTTATTTGAGTCTATAAAAGCAAATAACCCAGACTGGTGGCTTAGAAAATTGCTTAACTTAATGAGAAGAAAAGCACATGTGACATGTTTTAGATAGATAGATACATAGAAATACTTTATTAATCTCAATCTGGGAAATTGCATTGTTTCAGCAGCGGTTCACACTCAATATCAAGCACACATACCAATAAATAGAATAGATAACCCACTAAAAATATAAAACAAATAAAAACACATTAAAAGTTAAAAACAAACCCAATACAATCAAGTACATATACATAATCACATGATGAATCAAACATATGCAAATCTATACAAAAGGTGATTCAGTATTTCCTATAACTCAATCCAGGAATCATCTAATGCTCCAAGATGATGTATTGTACAAATTAATGGAATAAGGCAGGAAAGATTTCCTATAACGTGCTTTACAGCAAC